GTGTGTATATATATATATATATATATATATATATATATATATATATATGTAAGAACGTACTTTATACATAGTTTTATGTATATAATAAGTGTATATGTAATCATTTATATACAATTGTGTGATGACAATATGTATGACAAATTTTTTACTGAGTCAATATATATTTTGAGAGTCATTTGAAGCATAGTCTAAGATACAGGATGTTCCAAAATTGTAAGGTAGTACCGGATTCATACGCGTTGATTTCATTAGACATAACGTCTCTATTTACGAACATTCCTTTGGCTATTGAGGACAACAGATGGATGGACATAGAAAAGAACGCAAACGTCAAACGTCCTAAAAGAAGAATTTTCAATGGCAATCAAACTTATCATATCATCCACTTATTTTAACAAAAGTACATATAAACAGACGTACGGAATGCCCATGGGAGCTTGCATCTTTGTTTCCCAACATTATCTAACAATATCATGCAAGATTCGGAAGAAAAATCTTTACATACTTTTTTGAGGAGTAATGTAGGCATATCTTATTTCTGCGATAATAATTCCATCGTAAAGCAGTAATTAGAGGCGTTGTAATGTCCAAGATCTTTGCGAATCGTGAAGAATAGAAGAAAAGAGAAGAAAACGTAGGTACGTAATGGAAAAAGAGCGATATACGTAAATTCATTTTCACATATACGCTCACATTCGATCGTATTTCAAAACATATGAGCCATCTCATTGAAAGCCAGGATTTCATGAATATCATATTAGGTGTGCTGTCCTATACGTCGTTTTAAAGGCCAACACTTGATTCAAAAGCGCGATATAGCAAGGCATTACGTCAACTTGGCTTATTTCGGGAGCCGAAGTTACATTTCCTACGGCGCTGAAAGTGAGAGAGATCCAACGGATGTAACAGTTTCGGTTTTGTGTCGGGAAAATCATGCCATATCCGCTTTATCTTGCCACGGCTTTCAGTCGATTTTCTTTACGTAGACCAGGCGGGGCGGTAACGATCGCGGCTATCGAACAACGCGCCGCACCGTCGCGCCTAAAACCCGTTATAAAAGCCGTGGACCGATTTCATTTTATCGCAACGTTGTCATCGGCGAATTACCACGTAAACCGCCTGGACAGTGTACGAGTGGATATTACGTTGGATCTGCAATAACTGTAAGCGTTTCAGGATTTATATTCGGTCGCGAACCACCATATTGAACATAGTGTATGTGCGCGATTTGCTAAGCCCTTCACTGCAAGCAACGTTGGATTAACTCGTTTTTGAAAGTGTCGAGAACTTGTTCTTTTCATTTTTATTAGAATTTAATTCATGAGATATTTTTATTTCGTGATGTAGTGATTAATTTTCATTATTATTTCGGATATTTTTATCAATGCTTAACTTCTTTTGCTCAATTAATTAATTATACATAAATTAAGTAAGAGAGCTATAAATTATTTTTTTAAATGAATCTTTTATATAGAAAACCTTTACAGATTTCTATTGTTACATTATTGTTTTATAATAATTATTATTGTTGTATAATAAAACAAGTACGATGTTAGGTCGATTAAGTGTATACCTCTCTCTAGATTTATATTACAACCAGTCATTGTAAAACGTCCGAGCTATTTGAACGGAATCAATACGCTGAATAGTCTCTAATCACTATATGTTACGCGCGTTGTATCGGAAATCGTTAGATGATTGCTAGCTCGCGTCGAAGACTTATAGTTACGATCGCGCCCAGAAACGAGCATCGTGGACTACAAAATTGGTAACCAGACTTATATTCCGGAGATCGATCGTTGACTCGCAGCCAGGAATCGGAGGAAGAAACAAGATTTGAGACGGTTTTGAATGGTTTATCAGAGCATTTCATTTTTCTCTATATTTCTACTCTTTCTCGTCTATTGTTTTCTCTCTGTCTTTTTTCCATTCCTCCACACTCCACTCTCGCGTCCTCTCACTAAAGCACGCCTCCTCCGTCATCATTTCTTTCGTCGTTTTTGTCCACCTCTTCCGAAACAATAAATTTTCTAAACTTAAATTTGATCTGTGTGCGACTACGACCATACTACGATTATCAACCAACTTCTGCTTTTATAGTGCGTATATGCGTACATACGCACGAGCGTGGAAATGCGGTTTGTACCGGCTTCATGCACCCTTGTTTACCGGTCTGACGACATATTTACGAGGGCTCGGACCCTTCGATTCAATCTCGATATTCGGTTCAACTCTCTTCGTCACTCTCGACATATACCTCGCATGTCTATCTCACGACGCCTCCGTAAGGCCAAACTTGTCAGACACTTTCATTGCTTCCTCTTCTTATGTTCCTTCGTTCGTCTTCTTTCTCTCTTGTTATTTCCTTATCTCTCGTGTCGTTTCACCCGCGTCGTTTCACCCGCGTCCCGTACGGTGACGTCGCGTCAGAGTAAGCGAATTATTAAGAGCGCACGATATTCCGTGAAGCCATTCATTGTTTTCCACGTAGCTGGATTTATCGTTCTGGCGGGCGTCTCGTTTAAATCCCCTACGTGCCGGCAGCGGACCAGTTTAGGGCGGATCTCTAGGCGTACGCGTTCGTGTACCCGTATTCTGAACGTAAGCACGATACACGTTCCCGAATTAACTCGGTTAAGCGGTAATCGATCGGCTATGCGCTCCAGCTTGATGATCAAGGTAAGAAGGTTGAAGTAACGAAGACGTAAAGTTACGTCGTTCATTCTATCTTGATATAAAATTGATATATTGATTATCATTTATATTCTACTAGATTTAACGCTTTACAAAAAGAATATTATCTTTACTAAGAGCTTTATTCTTGTAGACTGCTTTTCGGTTATCAGGTTTATTACTTTATTATATATATATATATATATAACTTAAAATTTTGATATTAGACTCTCTCTCTCTCTCTCTCTCTCTCTCTCTCTCTCTCTCTCTCTGTCACTCTCTCTGATTTTATAAAAATATCTTTTAAAGTTGCAAAGTAATAATTTGATTGTGTTACAAAAAGTCTACGCAGATTTCAAATACAGTATTTATAGTAATCTGTTTAATCTATTTGATCTGTGCAAAATTGCATAAAATTTGTTATCTGCATATTGTATTTATGACAAAAATTAATTTTAGCATTCTTGAATTCTATTTTGTATTTATTTGAATAAAAGGAAAGATTATAATCAATGACAAGGAAAAAAAGAGAAAGATGTTAAAAAAAAGGGACCATAACCTCATCATCATCGTCACCAAGAGAGTAGAAAAAAGTTAAGCCGTAACAAAATTTTATTATAACGTTATAAAAAGGGTAGGCTGTATGATCGTCGCCCTTCGTTCGTCATTCAGTTCACGACGCTGGTCACGAATCGTTCGACCCTCTTCAGATTATACGATAGTGAGGGAGTCAACGTGTCACGTGTCGAATTTACGTATGATTCACATCAAATTTTCTGGTCGCTTTCAAAATTGTCATGCGAGACAGGATTTTAAGATGTGTAGATTGTTAAAATTACATTTATCTTGCACTCGTGTTTTCCTATCGCGCCTCACTTTCTGCCACAAAGCATCGTGTAATTGGTCGCCGGTATTGCAATCAACATTTTAATCAACCCTCTGTGTTTGTCATATTAATTGTTAATCGAATATGTGATAATTAAAATATTGTTAGCAATCAACGTTGTGGAACGCAATAACATGGGCAGACCGACAAGATTAATATTGATATCGAACGTTCGATACCTTGAGCGAAAATGTTAAACTAGATGCATAAAGATATTGTTTTGTTAAATAAGATTCTTTCGTCTTAATAAATAAAATAAGAAAGTAAGGATTTTCATAGTGCGTAGATGGAATTTATCTTACTAATAAGTGTTAATATTGGCGGATACAATCGGCCCTCAATTCCTACATAATTCATTGCTTAATTATGATGCTCGGTACGGCGAAGGCCCGAAATTGACAGGACAATAGACAACGCCGGGGACGTTACGAAACAACGGAACCGCGATTCAACGATCAAGTCCACGTTGCTGCTTTCCAAAATTTCAGGTCCGCAATGACAGTACCGGCGGCCAGCATCGATTTCGTCACGGTATACCGCATCAAGATACACCGTTATTATTCCCAAAGTGAAAATTATCGTTAACAATCAAGGAAATTTATCACAAACTACGTTATTTACGAAGACTAAACAATTGATCGGCAAGATAGTAAAGAATCCCAATATAAGTTTTGAATTCCAATACGTTTTGATGAGCTTTCTTGCATAAATTTGCATCGACTAAATTTGTCTCCAATTTAAGTCTTTTACACGAGTCGTACAAGTATACTATCTCAATAAAATTTGAATCCCATTATTGACATAGCAATCATGAATAAAATTTGAACAGTAACGTTGAGATCAAGCGATTTGACAAGATCACTAGTTTATTCAATGTATCCATTGTTTTTGCTCCTGTTTCTGCTTGCAGCTACAGTATTTCACCATTGTTAGAACAAGGGAAGAAAGGAATCACCGGAAGTACCGGTGAAGTCGATAATGCGCTCGTTTCGGCGCCGCCGAAATCGACTCGCTGCTTCGAAATCTACTATCGCTCGTATACGGACTTGGGATACGACTAGTCCGCCGTAACGGACCGTGTTTATGATGCTGATAATAGCCGCAACCGCTTCCTTTTGAAGTGGTTGTCTTGTTGGACTCACGTCCGCCAATTAGGGCTACATCTCGATACAATTTAGTCGACCAACGTGATAATAAAGATAAATTAGATAAAATCATATTTAATTCTGAAAGGGAGCATAGAGAAAGAGAATAAAAGAAAGACGAGATTTTAATTTCAATTTCTACTTGAAATTTACAATTTTAATTCTTATTTTATAAATAGCAAATAAATTAGTCTTCCTCCATTTAATAAAATATTTTTAAGAATAATTTGGCATAGTAATTCTATATATACATACTGAAAAAAGTCTAATATAAATAACTAAAACTATACTGAGAAAAAATATAGTTAATTTTAATAAATATTTAATTCAATACTGCCAACTAAACATTTACTTACAGTAAGTAAATATTTGTTCAGTAAAAAAAATGATTGTTAAATCAAATTAATATTTCTTGTCAAATAAATATATCTCTAGCAAATATATCTTTATATTTAATAAATATTTAGTTGGCAGTATTCAACTAAATATTTATTAAAATTTACTATATTTTTTTCAGTGTAAATATATTTTGTTGAGCGATGAATATATGATGAAAAATTTAAATATATGCAAGAAGAACTTAAAAAATAAACAGTTTTACAAATTAAAAGACTAAATGATAAATGATTTGAAGACTCATCACGTCGATTTCATCTGACATAAAATATTAGTTCTTCCAGTCATCAATGACAGTGAGCAAAAATCTGACTGCAATATAAAGTGACGTATATAAATAGCGAGGAAAATCCCGTTCTGATATACGCGCTTAATGAAAGAGGAAAAAAAATACTTGTGCCGCGTAAAGAACTAGATCGATCGTACTGACTAAGCATGTTCCTTCCTTCATAAGTTTTATCCTGGTGAATGTTTTTCATCTTCGTACTGCTTCATTAATTACTCGTTGCGTATTATTACACAAGAGGGAAGCGAAATCTTTCTTCCCCACGAAGAGATCTCCTCGATGATTTTGATCAGGATGAAGGAAGCTTACTTGGGCACGACTATCACGAACGTTGTGATCACGGTACCGGTGTACTTCAACGACTCTCAACGTCAAGCTACGAAGGACACGGGCACTATCGCCGCTTTGAACGTCCTGAGTATCATTAACGAACCGACCGCAGCCGCCATCGCTTACAGACCCGACAAAAAGGATAGTGGTGAAAGGAACATTCTGATCTTCAATCTCGGCGGTGGTGCTTTCGACGTATCGATACTGACTATTGATGATTTACACATTTAAAGTAAATAACCTGCGTGCGCTTAGTTTGGACACATCGATAAAAGAATATTCCGCACTGCAGACATATATCCAAAAATGGCGATCAAATTGTTGTCTAAAATATTT